AGTCCCTATAATTCAGGTGAAAAAAAGTCCCTCTAATTCAACTAGATTTTTTTTTTCATAATTCAACTAGATTTAAAAAAAAAAACTCTCTCTCTCTCTCTCACACGCATCAATTTATTTAGCCAAACTTCCTTAGAAAAAAAATAAAGAAATTGAAGCACAACAACCATTGACACAAGGCCTAATACACCTTCAACACGTACTTTTTTTTTTTTTTTTTAAATGTTGTTGATGAAAACATCAAATAAATAAGTAAACCTGGGGACTACTAGGTGACTACGTAACGGAGTCTTTCTTTCGCACCATTCCTTCATTTTGGCTTAACAATCTTCCATCATGATGCCTTTTGACCAAAAAAATCTTCCATCGTGATGCTGTTTATTGTTTGAGTTCAGTAAACTTGCTAAGTACTATTGTTTGCTCTTTTTATCAAATTAATCATCAATATTTTCATGAACATTATACCTTCAATACCACGTTGCACAATATAAACAGCAAATTAAATCAGTCTAAAATACATTACAAGTTAAACAAAAGAGGATGTTCTGATTAGTCTAATATTTCAACAACATCAGAAGCAAAAATATAAACATCTGACTAGTCTAATATTCCAACAACATCAGAAGCAAAAATATAAACATAATATATAAAGAATACTTGTTCCGCGAAAACCAAGACAATTATTGGCTGCTTGATCATTTTACGTATTGGGATCCCTCATGTGAGCAGCAACTTGGTGGCTTATATATCCAATGATGGGATATGTTAAGAGTAAAACAGTCTGCCTATCACACAACAGATTAAAAGCTTGTAATTTGCCTTTAAGTCACTCTGTATATTTAATTTCTTGTGATTTTAATGCTTCAACAAGACGATACCCTTTACAGCTGGGGTTCTATGCACATAATAAGTTAAGTTAAATTATTAGAATGTACATATAAGTACAAACTAGAAGACTATGCTAACCTTTTGAGGATGTATGAAAACGTTAAAAGCAAGCTATAATAAGGAAATGACATGCAAGGAGGTACATTACGACGGTGGGCAATGCTATGTGTTTAATTATATATCAATTTTTACATTGTTAGAATAAATTCTATCGGTAGGACAAAAATAATTATAAATGAAATTCAAACAAGAACCTAGCCTTAAGAGGTATTCAGAAAATCCAAGAATCAATTAAAAAATTCTTTTACGTTTTAGTAAATAATTTTTTTTCACATAATTATCTTATACTGCATAAAATTACATCAACAAATTAATCCAAACATACTTTTAAGTTGTTCTCTAATTTTAAGGAAGCAATTAAAAACATTCAAATATTATAGATTATATTATTATTATGGGCCACGACCTTAGCAATGGCCTAAAATCGACTTGTGTTGGGTATTACGAGAAAACAAAACAAAGAAAGAAAAATCTAAATAAGCAATTTTTTTTTTAATGATGCATGGATATTTATGGCGTAGTTTTACCCCAATCGTGATACAGAGATAAGTGGGGCGTCGAGTGAAAATTTTGCCAAAAGCAAAAGGTCGGTACATGAAGCAACACAGCGAGGGACGACTTGACTATACACAGCAAGGGACGACTTGACTGGTTGACTTGTTGACTTCAATGGCGCGCGCCGTGTGGGAAATATGAAGGAGGGTACGGAGTTCCCAAAAGTAAAATCCATTTTCATCAAAAAAAACTTATTTCCTCAATTCTTTTATGCTTAAATATTCTTTATTTTTCTATTTACTTATGAAATTCTCATCTTTTTTTTTGAGTAGATGACAAGTTTAGTAAAACAAATGACAGAATTTTTATGGTTCTGTCACTGTATTTTTGTCACCACATTTTCGATTAAATGGATAACATTAAATAGCCCTATATTATTATAGAGCTGAGAAGCATTTCAGACATTTTACCAAAATTTTATATTTACACTATGGGGTCGGGTTTTTATTTATCATTTTTCAAATTGAAGGTTTCAAACCACAATTTCACATGTTGGATCTTTATTTTCCATTTTCCCAAGAAAAAATCTAAACAAGCATTTTTTTTTTGTTGAGATACATGGATATTTTTAGAGCGTAATTGTACGCAAATCGTGATACAGCAATAAGTGGGTTATCAACTGTAATTTTTGTGAAAAGCAAAAGGTGGCGCATAAAACAACACGGCAATGCACAGCAAGGGACGACTTGACTGGTTGACTTGTTGACTTCGATGGCACGCGTGATGTGGGAAATACGAAGGAGGGTATGAACTATGAAGTTTCCAAAAGTAAAGTCCATTTTCATCAAAAAGCTTTTCCATGCATGCTTATAGATTCGTGGCATGGGCCTTTTTATTTCCTCAATTCTTTTTATGCTTAAATATTCTTCATTTTTATATTTACCTATGGAAGGCCTATCTTTTTTCTATGCTTGAATTGGATTGGATTATATTGCTTTTAATATAAGAGCTAATTTAATTCTTAATTTGATTCTAAATATAATATCTTAATTCATTTTGTTTCTCTTATTTTTTTAAGATGGTTATTGTAATAGTTACAAATGTTAAATATTTCATTAAATAATTATTCTAGCTAAGTCAAATTATTAGTAAGGATATTTTAAAAAAGACAATACCTGTTTATTATAAATAATTAAATGAATCAATTTTTTTAATCTATTTAAATTAACCAATTAGTTTTTATATCAAAGACGAGAGTTAATATATAATTATTCTATTATTGAGTTTAAAATTCTTCTATTATGATATACAGTCTTCCAGGGCGTGACTTTTTCCAAGAGCAAGGCGGTGGGGAGGGACAACAAATGCACGCTATACAATGAGCCAACCCAGCAATTCACAACACTCAAACGTGGGACAACTTGGCTTGGCTTGTTGACCCCAGAAGCAAGAATGATAAAGGAGGTAAGCGGTAAGGGGTACGAAAACGTGATGCCTTAAAATAGCCAATCTATTCCTTAAATCCAAAAAAACATACATTAATAACATGAGATTTTAGCTGCCATTAAATTCATAATCTTTTACATATACAAAAAATTTTAATACCACTAAGTTATAAAGTCATTAAAAACGTTATGTGTGAAAAAGGATATGGAAGATGGAAAATTTCCATTCCCTTTATAAGTTAAGACCCATATCCTTTTTTTTTTTCCAAAAAAAAAAGAAAGTTCATGTCATTTTCTTTTTCATTTCCTCAATTCTTTTTACGTTTCCGATTAAAAAATCGTCTTATGCTTAAATTTTTTTATTTTTTTTTATTCACCTATACAAAACCCCTTGGTGTTTCAATGCATTTTCCAATGGAATTTTAACAGAGGAAACTTGAAAAATGAAATGAAAATTCTTTTCAAACAGATACATTATTCCAATTTTTTTAAAAGAAAAACATAGATGCCTGATAAAAACATAAAAGTTATAAATGTCAGCAAAATGGGTTTTTATTTTTAATCTTTGGTGAAAGACAAAACATATATATATATATATATATATATATGAATTGGCTTCTCAATATTACCTTTTTTCCAGAAAAAAATCTCATCATTGTCAGCCCTCATAATCTTTTTTTTTTTTTAATAAAATCATTCCTCACAATCAATGGCCTAGCAATTAGAGCCATAACCGCATATGCATGTCTGCCCCTTTTTATTTTTAAAGAAAATCATTTTACAGATGGCTATACTATTTTCAATTTGTTATCTATACAGTTTTTTTCCTCTTTATTTTTAAAAATTGAGAAAAATATGGACACATATAAAATGATTTTCCTTGTTTTTGGGACTGATGTTAAATTTATCAAGGAAGCAAAAAAAAAAAAAAAAGAAAGAAAGAAAGAAAGAAAAGAAAGTTGAAGGAAATATGTAGGAAGAAACTTTTTTGTAAAGCTGTTCAAGTAGTATGGCAACACCAGTTACGCTTGAGCTTCCCGAAACTGGAAAAATAGCCTCTGGAACACAGAAAAGTACATGTGAATGAGGCATTTGGTAATCTCTGAATCCGAACTGAAGAGCTTGTTTCAAGAGAAAGCAAGTCTGCAAGTTGTGAAGCTGCCATTTTGTGAGGTTCATTTCTTCTCTTTTACTTGCTTTCTCCCATGGATCCATTGCTCCTTCTACTGTTTTCCCTGCACTTTCCCCTGGAATTTTCGCAGAACAATTCTGCAAAAGATTTTCTGTTTTCTTCTCCTAGTGCTGGCTGTTGATCGATTCTCCTCCATAGCTACCTTACAGTCGTAGATCTAATAAAACTTCAACATTTAGAATCTTTTATACTTAAATGGGGGGACTTGATCTATAGATTAAAGTCTACATCTACTTTATTTAAATTTTTTTTAATGAAGTAAAAGCCCCATTTATTTATTTTATAAAAAGGCAAAGTGCTTGTTCTTCCTTTCATCCTAATCACTCCCCTCTTTGTCGTTACACGTGAAAAAGACTTTGATAAAAAAAAAAAGAACTTGATATAAATAAACAGGCGTATTCTGTTTTCTCATGATCCACTTGCTTGGTACGGTTTTGTTTTTCCCAGAAAACAAACATATATTAATATATATCAATTTATTCAGTCCAACTGGGAAAAAAAAAGGTGAGAGTAATTTAATATTCGAACTAATAAAATTTCGGGGACTTTAATATAAGTTTCCCAAGAAATTAACACACGGCCTGATTCGCCTTCAACACGTGTACTTTTACTCGCTGTATACAGCTTCTTTTAGAATAATTGTTGATAAGTAACATCAGATAAATCAGTAAAGTTCTTGGCCACATGATGAATTCTTTCTTTTGCATTATTGCATCCATAAAGACATGTTCTTCATTTTCGCATCAATCGTTCGATAACTTGTTCCCACTTCCTAAATGGTCTTGTGTGATGTTTTTATCACGTTAATCAAGAGCCAAACCACGCCACCTCTTGAGAAGTTAAAGCCAAAAAATATTACTTTATCATGTCAGTTTCGGGTTGGTGAAAAGTTTCAGGTTAAAGCAAGAGATTACAGTCACATGGATGCAACTTTTGCTTTAACGCTTATAGAAGCTGTCTTGATTTTGCTGGCTATAGCAATTTCTGCTGCTGTCAGATTAATCTCTCCACTTCATGATAGGTAACATGTTCTTTAAATGTTCACTTTAGATGGTTTGCTGATAGACCAATATTTATCATTCGTGAAGATTTCTTTCCATCTGTAGTTGTAAAGATGTTGGTGATTCAATTCCCACCGTTTCTTCTCATTCTCGTATCATTGTTGCTCCTCCTGCAATCAAGTATGAGGTTTTTCTTAGCTTTAGAGGGGAAGACACTCGTCACACTTTTTCAAGTTATCTCTATGAAGCACTTCGCCAAGCAGGCATTCATACTTTCATGGATGAGAAGATCGAAAAAGGAGATTATATCTCACCGATCCTTCTGAAAACAATAGAGCAATCGGAGATATCTTTGATCGTTTTCTCTAAAGATTATGCTTCTTCAACATGGTGTATGGATGAGCTCGTTCACATTACGAAATGTAAGGATAAGTACGGAAGGCTTGTCGTCCCAATTTTCTACAACGTAGATCCATCAAATATTCGAAAAAAGAATGGGAGATTTGGAGATAGATTTACTAAGCTCAAGCAGAGATTTAAGCACGACCAAAAAAGAGTGCAAGAGTGGGAAAATGCTTTGATTGAAGCAGCAAGTCTATCTGGGTGGGATTCAAAGAATTTCAGGTAGCTTTTGTTCTGCTCATGATGCTCTTATATTTTCTTTCTTAAATTTGGGCATTAAACATAAACATTATTGTAATTTATATTTATGCTAGGCCTGAATCCGAACTTGTCAAAAAGACTGTCAAAGATGTTTTGAGCAAATTGAAGCGCAAGTCATCCATTCACATGGAAGGCCTGGTTGGGATCAATCATCAGATTCAGAAAGTTGAAGAGTTAGTAAGTGAAGCTCGCACTGTGGGAATATGGGGCATGGGTGGTATTGGCAAGACCACTCTTGCTAGGGCCGTATTTGACAGATTGAAGCCAGAGTTTGAAGCTCTCTGCTTTGCTAAAGATGTGAAACAACAGCTGGCGGAAAGGAATGGATTGGATGAATTGCTAAAAAAAAGCCTTAAAGAATTATTAAAAGATGACGATATTAATGCTTACGATTTAAGATCCGCTTCTGTCAGGACAAGGCTTCAGCGTAAAAAAATTCTTCTCGTACTTGATGATGTGGACAATTTTATAACAGCTGAAGATTTAATCAAAGCATGTAATTGGTTTGGGGAAGGAAGTAGAATTATTATCACATCGAGAGATATGCAAGTGCTTAAAAATACTTCTGCTTCTGCATCTCCAGCAACATATCAAGTTCCGGAATTGGATCCCCATCATTCCCTTCATCTCTTTAGTTTGAATGCTTTCAAGCAAAATCAGCCATTCGAAAACTACTTGGAGCTATCAAAGCGGGTAGTTGATTATTGTAAAGGAAATCCTTTAGCTCTGAAAGTGTTGGGTGGCTATCTCCATGATAGAGGAAAAGAAGTGTGGGAAAGTGCTTTGACAAAACTAAATCAAACTCTTCATACTGATATTTTTAAAAGTGTTGAGGTTGAGTTTTGATGGACTTGATGACACTCAGAAGAACGTATTTCTTGATCTTGCATTTTTGGTGAGTGACGTAAGGTCAATTTCTGTGGATTGTGCAAGATGTTTATACGGTTCTCTGGCAGATATTGACATGAGTGAACTTAAAGACAGATCCCTCATCTTTGTTTCTGGATGTGGTAATATTCAGATGCATGCTCTACTAACGAATATGGGTCTTGAAATTTCAAAGCAACAATTAAAATCTGATCCTGAAAATCCCATTCGGCTGTCGGGGCATGAGAATATTTATCGTTATTTTTCCAACAATGACAAGGTAATAATTTGTTTTTTAGACTTCATCATATTTTTATTCTCTTAACATTTAATTTCGTTGTCATTTATTTTCCTAAAAGTTATTTGCTTATCCATTAAAATCTTCAGTAAGTCTCAATGTGTGCCGAATCAGACTTTTTTAATATATGAAAAGGTCCTTTCTTCGACTAAGATTGTTTGGGGAAATAGTCTTTCTATTAGGTATGATTCATTATATTAATCTTCTTAAACTTTTGAAATATTTGTTGTCTTGAAGTTTTGAGATCGAATATGACTAGCATGATATGAGGCTTTTTTTTTTTTTTAAAGTTACGGCATGAATGATCTTCAGTAAATTATAAAGTTATCCACAAAGGTTGACCTTTTTTATATTTCTCCTCTACTCGTTAATAATTGTTAAGTTGATTTTGGTTCTAAATATAAGACCTATTTATCATATTTATCAGTTTTTTCTAAATTACCTCTATTAATACTCCGCCAATCATAATCAATTAAAAGAGGGAAGAAGGATATTAAGGAAGATAATTACGGTGTTTTAAGGAAAAAAATATCATATTTCTTATAATTAACTAACTTACCTAATTTCCTTAATCCAATCAAATTAGTTAAATAGGTCTTATATTAAGGATCGGAGGAGTAATTGATAACTGATATAGCATAAAAGTGATTGGGGGTATACTTACTGCACATGCATACTCTCACCCTCACGCGTTTTGTAATAAAAATTTAAATTTAATTTACTTATTATGAAATCTGAACAATTTTATATATGCGGGGGGTTTTATATACACTAGTTTTTCTTTAAGAAGTAGCAATTATATGAAGAGTTAATATAACTTTTGGAACTTCAAATTTGCATGAATTTTAATTTTAATTCCTCAAGTTTTAAATAATGAGTTTTGGTCTTTTAAGGAGCAAAATATTCCAAGTTTTTGTTAAATCACAAGAAGCAAATATTTTAAATAGAAAGAAATTTGAGAGATTAAAACGTATGATTTAAAATTTAAGAGATTTAAAAATAAAATGAGAATAAACTTAAAAGACAAAAAATTATGTTAATCCTTATATGGAATATAAACGTGTGCATGTAAGCCTGTTGGTATGATTGTACCCGCCAGCCTGCGTGTGTATCTCCAATTTATTTATTGGAAGATAAAAATTGTTTGAATAATGTGCACAAAAACATATTCATTTAGAAATTTCTAAAACAAATATATTTAATTGTTCTATTTATTATTTGATCACCGCTGACATTTTTTTTTTTGGGTGGTTGCCTGAGATCACCTTTGACATATTACGTATTTTTTCCTACAATTTGATCAGTAGGCGGCTGCGGCCATTCAATGCTTATCCTTAGACATGAGGAAGATAAAGAGGATTACATTAACAACTAGTAATTTTCAGAAGAATTATATTTTAAAAGTAGCTGGGACTTTTTTGACAAATGTTATTTTATAAGATAAAATTAGTCCACAGAGAATTTTTGTTAAGTGATATATGCATACGCACGTGTGAGCCGGCCTAACTAACTGTTATTTGAAGTACAATGTGAAAATCGGGGGGGGGGGGGGAACACTTTTTGCCTTTGTAGTTATGCTATAAATATGTGCATATGCATGTAGGTATATGCATCGGTGTGTCAGCATATTTATGATTTTTGAGAAATTCACATATTAAGAGAAAAACATGAATTGCAAGCAATTTTGAATAAAATGCGTATCATGGTGTTAATTTGGATACTTTTAAAAGTTGATATATTTGATTGTTCTATGGTATTTATGGTTATTTTCTAAGGAAATGATAATCATGTGTTCCATTGATTTGATATTATTATTAGGGAATTGAGGCAATTCGATGCATGTCATTGGATGCAAGCAAGATAGAAAGCATTACATTAACGGCTAGTCATTTTCGAAAGATGCATTATTTAATGTCCCTTAAAGTTTACAAGTCAGATAAGGGAAAGCGTTCAAAGTTAAATATTTGTGAAGATTTGGATTATCTCTCAAAAGAATTAAGGTTTCTTAGTTGGGAAGGATATCCACTACCATCAGTGCCATTACAATTTTGTGCTGAGAATCTTATTAAGCTTAATTTGCCAAAGAGTAATATCCAACAGCTTTGGAATGGATACCGGGTACGGATAGTTTTTCATACGTCATAAATTTTTTTGCTGTGATTCTAAGAAACATTAACTAAAATAATTAACAGTGCAAATGTTTGCTCTATTACTATCATTGAATTGATGGTTGAGTAGTAATTGTACTATTTGCGGGAGAGTCCAACTGCTGTTGTAATTGGCATGAGAAAAATTCTTGAGTAAATTGTACGTATGAATAGTTATGTAATTTATTTAACACTACTGCTTTTTTTTTCCTTCCCCTAGCAATTTCCAAACCTGGAGGAAATAAGTCTATGGGATTCAAAAAATCTTAGGGCACTCCCGGATTTGTCTCAAGCCCCTAAGATTGAACGGATAATTCTTCGTGGTTGTGTGAATTTGGGTCAAATCCATTCTTCAACTGTCCCAGAAAAGGATATCAATTTATTTATAAAAGATTGTGGGCCAATGCAAATAAATGTTGGGGGCAGTATGCACGAGAGAAGTTCATCAGGGTTAGTGATTGTGCACAATTCTTTGGATCTTGCCGATTTGGCATTCAATAAAGTGACAATGAAGGTGATGTTATACGGCAAGATGATATGTGGTGTTGGATTTAAGCATGTGAGAATGCCATTGAAAGAGACGGCAGAATTCATGAGAATGGGAATACAAAGTTTGGCGACTTTACTTCCATTTGTGAGGAGAGTTAAATGGTTAGAGAGTCCAATTGAGTTTGGGCATGATTTCAAGCAACATTATACCTATGATGTTAATCATTATTACAATGGAAATACATACTTTAGTATTGCTGTGTGGGTGAGAAGTGATGGAGAAGAAAGGGGGTAGAAGATGATGAAGAAGAGGATGAGGATGAGAGAGAAATGATTAGTGAGAATGAAAGAGAAATGAACAGTAAAGGTGATCAAGTAGTAGAGACGCCATTATTATTAATGGAAGATGAACAAGAAGAGGATGATGATGAGAATGATAGTAAGAGTGCTACCACATTAATAATAACAACACTTATTCTCAACACCATCCCTTGCTGGTCATTATTGGTTCGAGTGACATTAAAAGAGAGTGATATTATTATTGGGAATAATGCAAGTTGCAGCAGCATCCCTCAAGTTTCAATTATCCTCAAATCACTTATTGAAGATTGTAGAAGGCGGATTCAGCCTCTCTTAGTAGTACAACTCTCTTCACCAATATCCCCTTTACGTCATCATTCTTTCGGAGTCTTTTATAACTACTTGGAGAGGATGCCACACGATCCTCGTTTTCTTTGTTTCCACAGCGAATACTTGTCAAACAATCATTTCGATGATCATGATCTAGTTGTTTACTATGCGGAGCATTATTGATGACATTAATTATCATTTAAATTTTTCTGGCCATAAAATTATTATTTGAATCAGTCTCATTTATCTTTTCATCGCACATTCACATTATGTTATTATGATACATTACTTTTTTGTTTTTTTTCATATGTAATTCATGGAGGGCCTCCTTACAACTTTAGAACATAAAAATTGTCACTCTTATTTTGGCTTCACAATGACTGCGCTTGTTATGCATGTTACTCTCCTTGTGATGTAAATATAATATCTAGTGTGACAAACAATTTCCATACTAAGCTATTTTATTATAAGAAAGTAGAATGATTACTTATGAATTAATTAACTCAACTTGTAAATGTCAAAATGTTATAATATTTAAATTGTAAATTGTGAACTACCTTAAAATAAAATATATTTGTTTGACTGGCCACTGGTCGATCATTCCAAGTTGATCAACGTGGTTAATAGGCAACGTGGTCATTTATATTTTTTTTTTCAAAATAAAAAAATCCAATTATACTTGGTTTTCTTGCCTGAGGTCTAGTAGTAATTTTCCCTTTACATTATGTGACATTAAAGATATATTTTTTTTAAGTGAGATCCATAAAGCGTTTCCTCACAACTTTGGAAAATACTCTTGAAATTATTAATCTTAATGTTGCTTTTCAATAATTGTTCTATTGCTCGTTACTTTCCGCATGTGTATGTTCCATAACTTATTTAATAATTGTTGATAAAATTTAGGGTCATCTAGAAGTTTGGGATCGCCATCAATATGAGTTTCCTGAATAAATTTGAATTCATAACTGTCATGTTGGAAACAAATATTGATCTACGTTGCTAAGCACAAGCAAACAGAACAGGTAAAAAGGATACTAAAATAATAATCAATAACAAAATGCCAAGCATTAAGAGTATGAAGACATAAATTCTATGATTGAAACACTTGATTGGCTTCCTTTAAAACTATTACATAGTACATACCAAAATGACTTGCTTTTGTCTGCACGATTCAACATGGAGAAAAACATAAAGGTTCTGTTTTAACTCAATCAGCAATGAATTTGACTAACCTCTTCCTTAAAGTTATCCTTGGTCTCAAGAATCTGAAGACAATGCTAGTGACGGTGCATGCAGAAATGAGAAAAAAAGTTGGTGGTTATTAAACATATTCTTGATGTCAGTATACATAGACCGAAAGGCACTCAAAAATTAGAAAAGAACCAAAAAAGCCTGAATGGGTCTGACTTTATGATTGTGAGAAAACTGTAAACTGAATCATGTTTCAAAAACAAAAAAGACAACATTGTCTTGCATTTCCAAATATACTAACAGCAGATGTTCTCAGCCTCATTTGCTTGATCATTCTACTGGCATCCCTCATGTAAGTAGCAACTTGGTAGCTTATATCCTGTAACGTACATGTTAAAGGTAGCAGCATCAGTTGTCACTTGCATCATCCTCTGCCATTTGTTGATCGACCTATCTCTGAAAAGTGCCAGTCTGCAAAAAGCAATCATGAATAACATCAATTAGGTCATAGTGTCTATCTAATCAATTTTATGCACATGCACGCGGGTATAAGAAATTTAAAATGTCAAAAGGGTAGCTGGAACCCAAAATCTTAAGTTGCTAAGTGAAGACCAATAATCAGCTTTAGTAATATTTTCTAGCACGTCCCCTAACACAAAAGATGAAAACAGGAACAACAAAAAGGTTCGATCATGACCGAAGTCTAATATAGAGATCACTGTTGCTTAGAAGGATGACTAATGCATCATCAGGTTGCACCCTAACAATAATTTCTCACATACAAAATCATCAATGAGTGTGGTTTATTCTGTTTCTTGGCCATATCAAAGCACATAAATATGCGACAAAAAAAGAACTTTTTGCCAAAAAGATACATTTTCAAAGAACACCATAAAAGCACCAAAGCAAACAATCACCCCAATACCTTGAGAGCTCTCAAAGAAGAAAGAGATGTTGGTAAATAACGCTCCCTCTGTTTTATGTAAATCATCTCTACTTCTTTCTTTTGAAGTGATTTTTGTGTGCACAGTTTTTCTCTTTTGTCTTTCAGGGTGTTACATGGCAATACTAGTAGCTGGTTAGTTGCAATAGAAGAGTTATAACTCTATTCGTCAGTTAAAACAGAGCAAACATGAGAGAAACAATATAAGCATCTCATATGTTCTCATTCTATATAAGGTGTGGAATACGAAATTACTACAATTATATAAAAGCTATTTTAGGAGAATTTACGCATTGGTTGCGCATATTAAGAATCCTTTTTCACAAATAATTATCTGAACTAATTTTTTAATCTTTTAAAATTAATATTAGACATGTAGTTCTTATATTTAATACGGGACAGAGTAATAAGAAGGTTGGGTATTATAATAAACATTGGAAAGAGGTGGGATATTAGAGCCTCCAAAATATGTATTTGTATAGTCATCAAACAGTGCAGTGCGCATAAAGAACATAACGCTATGTCTGCCACAATAGCAATAGCTTGGAAATTTCTTTGTAAAAGAAATAATAAAGAAATTAAAGCACCATAACCATTAAAACAACTTTAACACGCATACTTATACTCCCTATAACTAGTTTTAAAATAAATAACGTTGTTGTTGATTAAAAAAAAAGCATGAAATAAATAAGTAAAGTTTAGTTGTCTCGCAACCTCGTGCCACTTTTGAAATATTTATAAAGAGAAAAAGAAAGGAAAAGAGAAAAGAAGACACACCCTCACCCTCCGAACGAGCAAATGGCCAAATGATAATACAATGAAGCAACAGGGCAATCCACAAAAGTGACAAAACGCGGCACGACTTGACTTCACTTGTTGCCTAGAAGGGCTGGGACCAATGTTTTTATTGGACTATAAGGACATTGTTGATGTTCTGATGTTGAGTTTTGATCGACTCGATGACAAACAGAAAAATCTTTTTCTTGACCTGGCATTCATAATCAATGCAAGAGTTTATAAGTCTTTTGATCTGATAAGACAATTACACGGCTCTTCTGTGCGTACTGAGATGGGTGTTCTTAGAGAGAGCTCACTCATTTCGGTGCCTCAAAAACGCAAGATTGGGATGCACGATCTTGTGTTGGAAATGGGCTTTGAAATTGTTAGGTAGCAGTTATTCCTCAGTCCTAAAACCCCTATTCGATTATGAAGGCATGAGGACATTTATGATTTTTCAATTTGTGACAAAGTGATGATTTATTATGTTTATTATTATTTTATCTTTTTGTCTTTGTCATTTTAGTTGTTAGATTCCATGTGATATTTGTTTTTCTTTATTTTTTTACTCGTTAAGATCTTTGGTGATGGTAAGTGTCAACATTTATCTCGAGGTACCTCTGTTTTATTTTTATTAATTAGATTATTCCTATAAGAAAATCTTTCTTGATTTAAATGACTAAGGTTGCATTAGAAATATTGTGACGTGTTATTTTAAAAGATAAAATTGGTGTTCATAGAATATTCACTAAATGATAAACGAAATGATTCCCAAGATTGATTTTTCTCTTGCTAATTGGTATAGTACGTGTAAGTGTGTATATCCATACACATGCGAGTACAAGCTATTACCATAGCATATGAAAATTGAAAACGAAGAAAGTGTATCTATTAAAGGCTATAAAATGGTCTACATTCATCCCGGCTCCAAATCTTTTACTTTTCGTACTGATTTTTTGGCGCATGAGATTAAAGGGGTGTTTGGATAGAAATCAAATCATGGTTTCAGAAGTGCTTTTACGGTTTACGAAGTAAATATGTGGAGGAGTTTGTCTCCTTTTACGGAAAAGTACTTCTGAAACCATAGTTTCATATTGCCAAACACCCCTAATTCTTAGGGATACTCGTTTTTTTGTATTAACTGGTCTTCTCGTACTGTTTCCTTTGATTTGACGTTAATAGGGGATTGAGGCAATTCCATGCATGTCATCGGATGTGAGCAAGATAAAAGGGATTACACCGAGAGCTAGTAATTTTGAAAGATGTATAATTTGGTATTTCTTAAAGTTTACAAGTCTGATCAGGAAAGGCCTTCAAAGTAGAATAGTATTTGTGAAGACTTGGATTATCTTTTAGAAGGAATGAGGTTTTTCAGTTGGGAAGAATATCCACTACTATGCGTCCCATTACATTTATGTGCCAAGAATCTTATTACACTTGAAATGCCTTATAGTAATATCTAACAACTTTGGGATGGAAATAAGGTACATACCATGTTTTACATGTCATAATTTTTTTCACGAGGTGATTCTAAGATCTCACCTCAAACACTGATCAAGTCATTTACAATGCAAATATTTGCTTCACGCCTTTTAAATTGATGGTTAAACAGTAGTTGAATTTTTTTTTTTCCATGGGAAATCCAATTCATCTTGTAATTGGCATGTGAGAAATTATTGATTAAATTATATGCGCGTGTAGTTATCTAATTTATTTAACTTTGTTTTTTTTTCTCCTTCCCAACTTTTTCCAAA